ATTATTATTATTATTATTATTATTATTATTATTATTATTACTATTATTATTATTATTATTATCTATTCATTGATATTTGTTAAGTGTATTATGAATAAAGCTCTATGTTTTATTAACACAGAGTGTTATGTTTTGATGATTATTTACCAATCAATTAAATAAGGAATGTACAAATTAAAATGTACAATAAAAATTTATATTATGAATTCTCTGTCTCTTTAAATCTGAAAAAAAAATATATTTAAACATTTCTTCTTGCAAAAAATCATATTCATAAAAAAATTCTTTTTTCAAAAATTATTTTTTATGCTTAAATAATATTAAAAAAACATACTTGCACTTAGTACATGTATAAAATACTGTTTGTCCTTCATCTGCTGATCTCAATTGCAATGTTGCGTATGACATTTTATCATTTTGACATTGAGGACATTTTCTTTCAACAATTGGTCCTTCTGCTTCTTCTTTTTCGTCATTTTGTTTTGATAGAGCATAAACATTTGTTTTATTAAAATGAATAGTATAAGACATTGACATATCTCCAAAAGCTAATAATAAAAATTTATTATTTAAAAATAATTCTTTAAAATTATTTAATACAGTAAGTAATTTTCATTTTTAATTTTAATAATTTGATTTTTTTAGTGAAACAAAAGAAATTTAAAAGAATAAATTTAAATAAATAATAAATACCTTCAGGACCCCATACCCTTTTGCAAGCATAACATGTTACATTTCCTTTATCACCTAACAATGGTAAAATTGATCCACAATCAGAACAAAAGCCAGGAGTACTTATAAAAGAAACACTAGAGTTTTGTTCCATTTCAGATTAAATAAAAATAACTGATTGTAACCTTAAAATGACTATAACCTCTTGATGCAATAAAAATATACACATATACGTGAATTGAAAAACTACTTCTGCTAATAAATCATGAAATATTGAATATAAGAAAGAAAACTTATATCCTAAATTGAAATAGATATTGCTTATCTAGTATATATATTTTTTATGCTTATTTCATGGAAACTATTCCTAACGTTCCATATAGCTACATATCGCGCGGCGTTTCTGCGCGTGTATGTTTTGCTCGTTTACTCTATCAGAACCGGCAAAATGGACGATATAGCACTCCGAGTATCTGATCATGTTTTAGAAGTGATTTTTTCTTATTTAGACTTGCATACGTTGAGAAACTGTTCGTTAGTGTGCAAGCGATGGAATCGTTTCTTAAATGATGAGAATAATGATGCGTGGAGAATGCATTGCATCAGAAAGTTAGCCCAAGAAGCACTTAGTTCCGATTTATTATCATCGGTGCCTACTTATAAATCAAAGCTCCGTGCATTTTATCATGCATGGAATCCTAATGACTGCTCTCGTAATATTTATATTAGGCCCAATGGATTCACTATGCACAGGTAGCACCTTGGATTCTGTCATTTCTGTGTGTAATTTACATTTTAATTTGGATCGTCGTACAGTGTCAAATTTTCTCTGTTATATGTATATAATCGAGAAATTAAAAATATTTTAAATATTTTAATATTGAAATCTTCGAATAATATTGAAAGTTCAACTGCTTCATAAAAAAAATTAATTATTTAAATATAAAATAATAAATTTTCGGTGTTGAGTGTGTTTTTATGTAATAAATGTTAAGTGAGTGCTTGAATCTTTACTACTTGAGTTATAGGAATCCAGTTGCTCAGAGCACAGATGCCTGTAGAGGTAAAATTGGTTTTCGACATGGACGTCATGCCTGGGAAGTTATTTGGGAAGGACCTCTGGGCACAGTGGCAGTAATAGGAATAGCTACAAGAGAAGCACCTTTATTATGTCATGGATATGTAGCATTAGTTGGTTCTGATGAGCACTCATGGGGATGGAATCTTGTAGATAATCATCTACTACACAATGGAAATGTACAAGGAAATTATCCTTTACTTAACAATGCTCCAAAATATCAGGTATATTACAACTTTTATGATATAACTTTTTATATAGGTAAAGGGACATTCCTTAAAATAAACAATATAATTTTATAATTATCAGGTTGGGGAAAGAATTAGGGTAATATTAGATTGTGATGATAATACATTATCTTTTGAAAGAAATTATGAATTTTTGGGAGTGGCATTTAGAGGTATTGTATCTCAATGTTTCCTAGTTAAAAATAAATTAAAAAAAAAAAAAAAAAAAAAAACAATTTTTTTGATATTAATGGAAGATTAAATGCATAGGATTGCCAGACAAAAGATTATACCCATCTGTATCTGCTGTATATGGAAATACAGAAGTATCTATGGTATACTTAGGACCACCTCTAGATGGCTAACACTTTATTTCTAATAGAAACATATCTTCAAAAGTTTGATAAAATTTGGATGCAAAATTTTCTGCATCATACCAAAATGTCTACTATGAAGTAGAACAAGCACACCAATGAACTGTATGATACTCTTTAAGAGAGATGTGTGCCTGTTCATTCAGTCAATAACATTGTAAATAGTATTAGCATTCCATTTCAATCGATAAATTCATGGTAGTGCTTTATACAATGCTAACAGTTATAAGTTACTCAACAATCAACATTAATAAATTCATTTCATTTAAATCATATATCTGCTAATAGTGCTAAAACTGATCTGTACATTTTATAATGAAATTTCCCGTTTAAATTTTATATTTGAAAGTATCTTTATACACGAAAGTTGAGTGACATATTACTGATTTTGAAATAAATGTAAAAATATTCTTAAGTTAGACGATGTGTGAAAAAAAGTTCCTTCGCGAATTACATATGTTCTTTAAGAGAACATAAATTAAATTATTTTATTATTCTAAAATCTTAAATCATGATTATAGATTATAATTTTTAAGTAATATTTTAAGTAATATTTATGCACAGAGAAATAAGTTCTTTGTTTTTCCTTACAGTATTAATATTTGAGTCTTCGTAAAAATATTTTGCTTTATATGAAATCTATTCATATGCCAATAAAATGGCAAATTCTTATTTGTTCATAAAATAGTCATATATTTAATTTATTTCGATCATTATTAAAGACGCGAATTAAAAATTAAATTCATTTTTTCATCGTTTTTAATTATATAGGAACCGTAAAACAAACTGTGATTCATCTGTATTTTATTATGTTAACACCGTGTAAAGATATCTTAATAAGATATCTTATGTTTAGCATATTTAACATCTTTTTGTATAGAATATTATGTTTATTTTTCCTTTTTTTTTTTTCGTAAATTTATTATAGATATTTATATGTATTTAAAAAAAATTATTATTTATTTTCTAAATATAGGAATCAATTTTTCTAATATTGATAAAACTCAAGCAGCGAAATTGACAAACAATTCGAAGAAAACTTCGTAATTACATACAGTATACAGGGTGTTCCACTTAAAGTGTTCATAGCTGCTTTATTTTTAAATGTACAAAACAATGTCGTAAATTGTAAAATATCACGTGATAAACATCACTCAATTTGTATGATAATTAATATTTTTCTTTTTAAGTAAAGCGAAATAATACTAAAAATAAAATTAGTACCTGTCGAATTCATTTATACGACATTTATAGTCGAACTGATTTTTTTTTCTCTATGAGAATTTTGTTTTTTTATGTATATGTATGTAATTTGTGTATAAATATTCATTTATTTATGAAATCATATATTTTAAAATTAAATTAAATATATTTTAAATCATATATTTATAATCGCAGTATATAAAGTTTATATGATCACTATTGTGATTGATGCACAACAAATCTTATTTAACTAATGTAATCAACTTTTTGATTCGCTTATGCATTTAGTATAAGAAAATTATGTATCAACTACGCGTGAAATTTGTACATCGTGCTCTGTGAAATGTATTTATAGATAGAAATTATTCATTAGTGCCGAGAATTTCATAAACGAAATCACGAGTAAAAATGATTTCAAATGTACATATTCATTATGGTCATTGTGTTTGTTACAAGTAGTTTCAATGAAATTATGTTTTTTCTAAACTTTTGTACAGAATCGTGTACATACATATATAGTAATCATGGATGTACGAGAAGAAAATAAACCTTGTTTTGTATCTATTTAATGGATTCATATACATAAATAGCAAACATTACGGATCATGGACTGATTTAGAATTAATATTTCTCTCGATCGATCATCGGTCCAATCAAATCTCCATAAAAAGAAGTATACTCTCGTTTCGAAAATATACGAAACGTAATATAAGTTAACTTCGAATACGAACTATTGATATTATATGTGGAGTATAGTGGTGCCTTATTACAATTTTTTCGACATGATATTGATATGGCTATGATGATACATGATAGCATTAAGTATTCCAATATTAATAGATATCAACCAATATATAATAATTCGAAAAGTCGGTAACAAAAGAATCATTTTGTAAAACACGTGTTACGCATGCATCATATAATCATTTGCGAAACTATTCTGTACAAATGTTTAGAGAAAGAATGAATTAGTCGTAATACGATTAAGCTTGGAA